CAGGGATAAACGAAATTATTGGAATAGCAGTTGCCCGCTCACAGTGTTGCAGATAGCTACAGGAAACTTAAAAAGAGGGTCTTGTTTGAGGCTTTTAGTACTATGTCGTTGAGGAGCTTAGCGATAGGACGAAAGGTAGTGAAGACTAGCGAATCCTTCTGATTCAAGCACATTCGCGAGCCCAACTAGTCGCGGCTGCCAAAGGGCCACCTGCATTCGCTGTAGCGGCCTCGTATACTAGGTCATGCTTTGCTAGCGCACTTCTGGGTCATGTTTGGCATGTCTGTTACTCGTGTCCACTAAGCACGTGCGCACCCATGCGTGTCAAAGGCAGGTTAAGGTCACAGACGTGTCTGTTTGACCTAACTGGCTAACCATTCCCCAAGAGCAGTTCACAAAGGATTTAGTATGCTGAATGCTTACGCCCAGACAGTCCAAGAGCCGGCGATCTCATGACTGGTTGCAGACATCCAGACCCGGAAATTTCATCCGCGAGAATGCGATTCCTGACTTGGCCCGCTCATGGCTGGACTGCACTCGTCTGGGAGTAACTTACCTACTACTCACATTCTACTCCTTCTACGCTCAATTAAATTATCCATAACACTCTGGCCTTCCACACCTTATCTACTTGTTCATTACCGTTGAAATCCGTTCTTTCTTCTATAATCCGGCATGACTACTTCGTATCCTGGAACGCCCCCCCCCTCGGCCGATGCAGCAGAGCCTCTATACGCGACACCTCCGCCGGTAATACAACACACCAATAGTACGCCAGTTGAATTTGCTTCACAATCATATAAAAGCAGCTACCATTTTTCTCGTTCATACAGTCAGACACTTTCAAGCACAACTGGACGCGCCCCAAATCCGCCCTCGCTTTTCCAGTGGCCCCTGTTGCCTGATACAGCAATATGGAGTACTGTGCACAATAAGTCCTTCACAATGGTGCCTTCTGTCTTATACCTACAACTTGGGATTTGATCTGATAAGTTAAGTACTTGGCCTACAAACACTGCTTAGATCCATACAGAACCAATGGTTTCACCCATGAAAACCCTTTAGACATTTAGAACTTTATTGTTACGTTAGGAAAAATGTACCTGGAACTAAGATCGCTAGCATGCTCTTTTTCTCTAAGGATAGGCGGAGGGTTTGAAATGCATATCCGGCAGAGATAGCCGATTTCTTCGGAGTTTATAGGTATCTTTTGAATTGTCTCAGTAAATCCACAACAAAGTTTAGCAATTAACACTGAAAGCTAGTGAAGCCAAAGCATAAGTGAATGCCCAAAATGAACAGTGGTTTTCAGGATACTCATTGAACGTATTTTCCTTGTATTTAAATTTTTGGTTTGGTTTAATGGCTTTCAGGTATTAAAAGCCGTTTAAAGAAGAAAAGGTAATTTAAAATATGCTTCGTTGAAGAAAAATGGCCAGCAATTTGCGCAATTCAACCCTTGTTCACATTCAAGTAATTTCCTATGCTTGCTTGTACGATGTTTACTACAGATGACTATTAATATAAGTAGAGACAGTTCTGAATAAATTCCTACTGGGAACAGAAATGAGGTCTTGCGTTCATGAAAGTCAGATAAAAACAGGTACTGGACATCACATTACTTTCAAGAAATCAGAAGCAGATTCTGTTTAAAAACATGTTGAGAAGGGTTTTTGACCTTTTGTGCCATGAAACTCAGTACTAAACTCGTGGCACTGCACGTTGAACCACCAAATTTAGCACTGAAATCGAAAGAAACAAATAAATATATATGGATACACTCGAAAATGCTGAACGTAAGCTTTGGGATGGAATAAGAGGGTAGGGCAATCTCTAAGGGGGTGGTTTAATAATCCTCTGACCTTTGCATTTGTCCTTGAGCGCATCGTCGGAGATCGGAAAAAATTATAACTACTACTTCAAACAGGCCATTTTGTTTACATACTCTTGATAAATTAGCCATGGTCTGTGCTCATTGGTCGTATCTTATGGCCTACGTGATGTCTACTGACCTCGTAGTGCGCTGACAGATTCAACCTACGGCTGATAGAATTGGCATCCGATTGTCAGGCTTCAACTACCTCTCCCGCCATCTTGCTTTCTGCCCGGCCGATAAATTATCCACCGCAGAAGCCAAAGTAGTATACATTTTTGAGCCGATGGTACGTCTTTTTACTTTAAGACTAGACTTTGCTCATAAATGCCGCAGTAATTGACCAGACCAAATGTGCGATAATTAAGCATGCAAGTAACAGTAGAAAATAATTCAGTAAAATCAATCATACAAATAAAAAACATAAGTTAAAAATAAAGTAAATTACGAGTGCCACCAGCCACGTATGACAGAAGGCTGGATTATTGGTTTGCACGATGAGCCCTATAATGGACTTTTACCCGTTTGATTTTTCAAAAAAAATTGACCGCAAATAAAATAGCAGCAAGAAGAATAGGTTAATATCTGCGTCGATAAGGACTCTTACGATTCTAATCACGATGGAAATGCGACGCCAGAGTCGACTGAGGCCCTTCTGGATAACGGATTTGTCAACCGCTGCAAGTGCGCCCCGACGACTGCTGACTGCGATGATGAAAGTAAGTGCAGCGAAGAAGACTGCCAGGCCCAGCGAGATCATCGTCATGGAGAAGAGTTCGCCAGGCGAGAAGGTGATCTGGGTCATTTCCTAGATTAGAGAGAGGCGAGCGAATAGAGGGGTAAGCAGGGAGAGGGCGAAGAGGTAGAAGCATAGAATTTACTATCCAATCAGTGTAACACTGAACTGTAGACAGCCTTAACCACCTTCTCATGTGCTGACAGACCATAGAGACCAGTGCCAACCACTATTATGCAAGTGGTCGCAAAAGATATGGAGAACGCGTAAATTCAAAAAGCTGGTCGAAGGACGTTCACCGTGTTAAAAGAAATTCAAAACGGCAGCTCTACCAACCCGAAAGGTCACTTAATTTTCCGTTTGATATTTTGTGTGCAATCTGTATATTCGTAGTAAATTGCCTTAGGAGTCGTAAACTCCATTTAAGTAATTCATGTCTGCATGAAGGATATTGGACTCAAAAATAGTTGGTAGACAATTCTAGTATATTTTTCATGCCTTTCTACTGACAACGTTTGGCCTATGGAAACGCTGCTAATAGGGGTTTTGGGGCGTGATGAAATAGGATAGGCAATAAAGGAAATCCGTACAGGTAAGTGTAATTAGAAAAATTGAATTTTGAATGTTGAATTTGTTTCTCGGGGTTGCTAGAGACATGTTGTTACGCATGTAACTGGAAGGTGTGCGCGGCACGTTATGCCGCGGAATATACGAATCTAACTTCAGAGTGGTAAGTTGGACCTCCGATGAGTTGAACTAAACGGCCTCCTAACCACCATTTCAATTGTTTTAAGGAATTTAAAAAAAACCTGCATTTTAATAATTGGGTTTTTCCGCAAACATTTAAACGATAATAGAGATTAAGAAAATCTACACATATAAATCAACAACATTCCTAAATACAATAACTTAAAAACGCATGTAGCTGTTATATAAGTACATTCCACTGCCTATCCTAAATCCCCACTCGTAAAACCTTATGGCTAGCATTTCCGTAGGATGAAATGCTGGAAGTAGCGATTAATTAGGTGCACCACTTAAACTACTGTTACCTCAAAAATCGCCTCTTATTCTAATTGCATACCTAAAGAAAATGTGACTTTCGGTTAAAATGTTTTTTCAATACTCGAATAATTCTTAACCCCACCTGGTGTGTTACGCCTACATTCGGGGTTTTACACACACCAATATGTATCTTTGTTGTGGAGGTAAACTTATCCACTTCGATATACTGTAGGGCTCCAAAAACTTTGCAATTGATCTGGGCCATCCTGTCTATTTATCAAGCAACAAAGACACATCTCGTTGATTAATGTACACCAATCACGCTAACGGAATCCGCTCGTCCCGCTCTGCTCATTCTCCAGCTCCGCCAGCAGCGGTGAAAATTAATCTCCCGAGCTAAACCGGATAGACAAAGAACCTGTGACTCAATGTTTGGAAATGGCTCTTCTCATCTCCCTTGCCTTTGTCGGTAATAAAATCTGCCTAACACGACTACATGCTGCGTGCCCGCTGGCGGAGCTGGAGATGGAGGTCCAAGGCAAAGTAACACGAGTGAGACCCGTCAGTGATCAGTGAATGTTAATCAACAGCTGTCAATGTTAGTAGATAGGCGTACACCGATCAGATACAGGGTACACCCGCCCTGGTTTTTTGATGTCCAAAGGGTTCGGGTACTCTCAAACCTTTGCCACATGGCTAATTGTTACGATACTTACTATGTTTTAGTATCATTTTTGTTATTTTAGAACACTTTACGGTAAGACAAGATAAGCCAGGATGGCCATTTCTGCCTTACTAGGCGTCGTCAGACGGATATACTCTTCTCGAGTGCAGCAGTGGCAATCGCTGCCCGATAGCTCGATGGATAGGGCGCCTGCGCCTGACCGGATAGACGCGTGTTCGAAACTTGAGGGTGGTGACAATTTCCACTGCTATACTTGAGTAGAGAATATTTAGCTGACATGGCAGAAATGGCCATCCTGGATTCTCTTGTCTTTCGGTAAAATGTCCTCATTGTCAATTCCTCCGATCTAAACCGGCAAAACAATGACTTGCAAACACTCCTTAGAACGTTAGACTTCTGATTAAAAGGGAACGAGGTTGGAGTCTCGGATGGGGCACCTCTTGATGACGACTAATCATACAGAAATAGTCATTCAAACCTCCCGTCTCTTTGTCGGTAGTGCTATTAACAAATCGCCAGATACGATGCTTTATAAATGGACATTTTCTGGGTTCAAATAACCTCATAATTAAAAAAACTTTTTGATCCGTGACAATTGCCCTTTCTTATAACATAAAGATAGAAGAAGAGGTACTTTTCTACTAAGTTAGTAGAAGAGGGAAAATTCTCTTAAAAATTTTCTATTTACAATTTCTACGTTTGCACAGCCATCGAACATGAAAATCGAAGAGTACACACTATCGAGCGTAATTCTCACGGGAACCCAGAGAGGGGCTTTTCCAAAAGTCACATCCTAACGTGGCTGAATTACCTTGATATTAGGCTGCAGGATAATAAGTACTACAACCCAGTTTAGGTTATCCTTTCTAATTGTAAAAAGATGTATTGAAGGAGAAAGCCCATCTACAGGGTGGCCCCGAAGTAACTGACCCTTTTGATTTGCCAATAAAACGAAAACTATTAACGCTAAGATATAAAAACTTGTTTTATTAGAAATAAAAACCGTTTTA